CCCCTCAGGAAAGCGAATGGAGCCTTCTGGTCTGGTCTCAATGTGCTGTGGACGAAGGGGGAGGGGAGTGTCTGAGGTTGGGCCACCACCCTGGGACTGCCCTGTCACCAATCTGCAGCCTCTTCCCCACCCCCCCACACCCACCACTCCCCACCCCGGGTCGCCTCACCCAGTACAAGCCTTGTCCACACCCAGGCTTCTCAGGCCCACAGCAGGGACGCGTTTGTAATTTGGAGATAAGAGGGCCCCACGTTCAAGGCTGATAACCCACTTGGCCCCCTGGTCCTTGGTCTGTGCTCTAGCAGGGATTCTAGCCAGCGACCCTCTGATGGCTGGGTGCCGGCCATATGGGTTTTAAGTATTTTTGTGTCATTTCTGCCTCCAGCTGTCCTCTCTGGACGAAGGAGAGAAGGGACCGGCCGAGGAAGCGGGTTGGAAATGGGCTTCCCCAGCTCCAGGCTGGACACACTGATGCAACTGAGAGCTCTGAAATTGAGTGGGTGCAGAGTGGGGAGACACGAAACCTTTTCATTTTGTGTCCGCACCTGTATGGACCACCTACAATCTTCTTTTCTCATCCCTCAATGACTTCTCGGGCCTAGCCCAGTCACATTTGGTGGGAGAAAAGTCCCTCCAATCCTGTTTATTTTTTAAAATGAAAAAAAAAATTTTTTTACATTCATTTAATTTTCGAGAGAGGGAGAGAGTGTGTGTGTATGTGTGTGTGTGTGTGTGTGTGTGTGTGTGTGTGTATGTGCAAGCGGGGGAGGGGCCGACAGAGAGGGAGACACAGAATCCGAAGCAGGCTCCAGGCTCCGAGCCGTCAGCACAGAGCCCCAGGCGGGGCTCGAACTCCCGAACCGCGAGATCGGGACCTGAGCCGAAGTCGGCCGCTCAACTGACTGAGCCTCCCAGGCACCCCCATCCAATTCTGTTTCAAACCCCATCCTCCTTCTCTCTCTTTCTCCAGCTGTGGTCCCAGGACTTGCAGTGGGGACGGGGCACCTCCTCATCTCCTCCCCGGCCCCCTCTTTTGGGGGTCTGGGACCCCACTGTATTCACCGTGGGTGAAGGCCATGCGGGGAGACACGTGTCTCGGATCCGTCCTATCAATGCCAAGGTTCCTCGGTGGGCTTTATGGCTTCTTCAGCCACCACCGACTCCGATTCCGAGTTCTGTTGCTACAGCGTTCATGAAGCACAGGTATGGAATCTTTGGACGTGATTAGGGATGAAGGGAAAAATCATAAAACAAGGAGGATAACAGATACTCTATCCCCCTAAGTGATACTGCTCCCAAGAAATTAACAGAGCGTATTCCCCGGAACCAGGACGGGGAACCATGAAGAGTCTGTACGGGTCACCTATTGCTGGGTTGGAAATTGTCCCCAAGCCTAGCAGCGTAAAGCAACAATGTGGGTTCCTATCTCACGTTTTCTGAGGGTCAGGAATCTGGGAGCTGCCTCTGGGTGCTTGTGGCTCGAGGTCTGTCCTGAATGTGCAATCAGGATGTCGGCGTGGGGCCGCTGTCATCCGAAGGCTTGTCCGGGGCCGGAGGGCGTGCTTCCCAGATGGCTCACTCCCCGTGGCTGTTGGCTGGACAGCCAGTGCCTCTCCTCACGTAGGCCTCCCTGTGGGACTGACGCGGCAGTCGGCTTCCCCCAGAACGCGCGTTGGCAGAGGGAGAGCACGGAGGCCTCGAGGCCTTCTCATACAATGCCTCAGAAGCCACACGCAGCCATTCCTGCCTATTTCCGTTTGTTGAAAGTGAGCCTTTGTGTCCAGACCTCACTCACGGGGAGTAGACGTAAGCTCCACCTCTGGAAGGGAAGAGCATCCGAGAGTGTGTGGGCAGAGTCTGAAAGCAGCACGGAGATCCTGACCATTCCTGGTTCATCTTCTGCCTGACTCATGAAAGTGAAAGCCACACATGCAGCGGGGGACACGTGGCTCCCTCAGAAGTTCCCGCGAAAGCAACGGGCTAGCTGATTTTCTCCAATTCTCCATCCCAGTGCAGGCTCCTGCATTAGGATTTGGCTTGGGGGTAAGTGGCAAAAGGTCTGTAATGGCCTCACGGGCAAATTCTTTCTTTTCTGGAAAGCACATCTGCCTGTGCAGGAATCTGCAGTTTCTGCCCTGTCTAGATCTAGGGAACAGTGAGACAGGCAGTGAAATTACAGCGGAGAATCATTACAGGGCAAAAAAGGAAGCCCAGTGCACCATTAAAGAGATTTTCTGGGACGAGTCACAGAATCTTCAGCATATAGTGGCTCACACACAGGCAAGAAAGTCTGTGGAAGCAGTGGAAGTTGCTGGGGTTTGAATTAGCAGCCCAACAATGTCAGTTTCAGAGTCTGTGATTCTCCTGGGCTCTCCTCACAGGAGGAGAGTCACAAAATAGCTGCAGCAGCTCCAGACATCACATCACACACCGTGTTCAAAGACAGGAAGCAGGGGACCGCAGAAAGCAGGACATTTCTCTTCGTAAAGGGTGGGAACACCTTCTCCCAGAATTCCTCAGCAGCCTCCTTTTATATACCTTTGGCCAGTACTGAGTCGCTTGACTACCTCCTGACCAGGGTGAGGCTGATTAAGGTCAAAAAAGCTCACTCTTTCTTTCTTTCTTTCTTTCCTTCTTTCTTTCCTTCTTCCCTTCTTTCTTTCTCTCCTTTCCTTCTTTCTTTCTTTCAATGTTTATTTTTTAGAGAGAGAGAGAGAATGCGCACAAGTGGGGAGGAACAGCGGGAGAGGAAGACCGAGGATCCAAAGTGGGCTCTGTGCTGACAGTGCAGAGGCCAAAGTAGGGCTCAACCTCACAAACAGGGAGATCGTGACCTGAGCTAAAGTCAGACGCTTAACCGACTGAGCCACCCAGGTACCCCCAAAGAAGTTCTGTCTTCTACTTGAACAAAATCTAGAGGTGCCTAGAGTCCCTGTTCGGCCCACTTCTCTCCCTCACATCAGCTGCCTGGTCTCTCTATGGATATTTGAGTTTGGGAGCCCTGCTCGAGTGTGAGCACGGGTCAGCTAGGGATGTTTGGTTACAAATCAGAGAAAACCAAACTGGTAGCAGGCATAAAGATGTAAAGATATTTCTTAGTTTCTTAATTACAGCTTTGGAGGAAAGAGGCTTCTGGGTTTAGTTAGCAGGTCAAGTATGCTATTGAGAACCCAGAATTGTTCTATTCCTCCAATTGTTGCTCTTTGCCTTCCAGTTTATTGCCTCACGGTCACAACATGGCTGCTGAGCTCCGGACATCACCTTCTCCCACAACAGGGAAAAAAATGGATAGGTGGGGTGGTGACAGCCCTCTCCTATCCTGCTTCTCCTCTTTTATCCAGTCACAAACCTATTTCCCAAAAGCGGCCAGCACACTCATTGGCCAGAACTGGGTCACTGCCTACCTGCCCCTACAAAGGAGTCTAGGAAACAGGAGAGCTGGCTTTTTTCACCACTTTGGTATGAGGTGGTAAATGGGAGAGGAGTTGTTAGTGGCTGTTAGATCAGCCAATCAACACTATCGGTGGCGGACGTGACCTCATGCCCACTGCAAGAATAATTTTTAAACATTGAGAGAGAAAGAGAGAGAGAGATGGAGATATTCTTTCTCTCCCGCAGTGGCGGTGGGAGAGATACTATTTCGCATCATAAAATCCATCTACAGAATCAGCTTCCGGGGGGGGGGGGGGGAAGAATCGGCTTCAAGAAGGTGACAGATTGAAACCATTCCCCAAGCATCTATCTGGTTTTCCCGTACAGCCAGTAGCCGCCGTTACCAACCTCGCCGGTTCCCTTGTTCACTTAAGCCTGCCCTTGGAAAGAATTTGAACAAGAGCCTGGGAGAGTCTCTTAGAAATTGTTGCAATAGCCGAAGAAAAACGGCCCCCCAAGGCAGCCTACGTTTCTGGTTGGCCGGCTCCCTTGGCTGTTTGTTGCCATGGTGACGACGAGGTTAACCGGCCTCTATTTCTTTAAAGACTAAATCGTCGTGGGTCTTCTCCGTCACATCAGGAAAAGATCACTTCCCTTCCACGAGCACGTTGAAATAAGAGCCCGAGGCTCTTCTAGATTTGTTGTTTCTGGACCCCAAAATAGCCCCCCTTACTCTGATCTTTCCTTCCGTCAGAAGCGAAGTTTCTACGGAACAGTGTTTCTCCCACTCATCCTGATGTGTCCATGTCAAGGGCGTTCACGTAGGAGGGACGGAGCTGAGGACTTGGCTGGGGTGCCCGGTGGCTGGGCTGGTGAAGCGTCCGACTTCGGCTCGGGTCGTGATCTCGCGGTCCGTGGGTTCGAGGCCCGCGTCGGGCTCTGGGCTGACGGCTCGGAGCCTGGAGCCTGCTTCCGATTCTGTGTCTCCCTCGCTCTGTGCCCCTACCCGCCCCTCTTCCAAAAATAAATAAACGTTAAAAAAAAATTGTTTTTTAAAGGCTGCTGTCATCTCGAGGCGGAAGACTGCTTCCAAGCTCACTCACCTGGCCGTGGGCAGGCGTCAGGGGCTCGCAGGCTGTTGGGGACAGACATGAGTCCCCGCCCCTGGGCCTGTCCATCCAGCAGCTCCCAATATGGCAGCCAGGCCCCGCAAGACAGAGAGTGTGGCCAGGACAGAAGTCAGTCTTTTTGTAACCTAATCCCTGAAGGGGCATCCTGTCCCTTTCACCATTTATTTGTTAGAAGCCTGTCACCAGGTCCAGCCTACACTCACAGGAGCATAGACCCCAGGATCGTGCGAATACCAGGAGGCCACGCTAGAGGTCTCCTCTCCTAAGGAGACAGGCTAAGGTGATAATCAATGTGACCAGGGCTCCATCTGGTGGGAAGGGATGGCGAATGGCAGGGGACGTGACAAGACGGGAAGTTTTATTTCTAACAAATTTTTTGAGAGAGAGAGAGCATGCACACAGGAGCAGTGGCAGGGAGGGAGGGAGAGAGAATCCCAAGCAGGCGCCACGCTCAGCGCGGAACCCGACCGGGGGCTCGATCTCACCGCCGCGAGATCGTGACCCGAGCTGAAATCGGGGAGTTGGGCGCTTGACCGACTGAGCCACCCAGGTGCCCCATAACAATTTTAACTTCGTAGTTGCGTTGCCAGAAAAAAACACAGGATGACTAGTTAAATTTGAATTTTGAAAAACAAAAATATTTTTTGGTATAAAGTATAAGTATGTCCCATGCAACACTTGGGATATACTTATACTAAAAATAATGCATTGAGCATCCAGGGAGGGGGCATCCAGGAGGCCTTTGGCCACCCAAGGCTAGAGCTCAGAGAGAGGGCTGTATGGTTCGCAGAATCCTGACCCCCGAGAAATAGCTACATCCTAATCCCTGGGATCCATGAATGTTACTCTCCATGGCAAAAAAGGAATGTGTGGCTATGTTTAAATTAAGGTTGTGGGGGCGCCTGGGTGGCTCAGTGGGTTAAGCGTCCAACTCTTGATCTCAGCTCAGGTCTTGATCTCAGGATGAGATAAGATGAGATGAGATGGGATGAGATGAGATGAGATGAGATGAGATGAGATGAGATGAGATAGGAGGAGCCTGGGTGGCTCAGTGGGTTAAGCATCCGACTTTGGCTCAGGTCATGCTCTCACTGTTTGTGAGTTCGAGCTCCACGTCAGACTCTGTGCTGACAGCCGAGAGTCTGGACGGCCTGCTTCAGATTCTGTGTCTCCCTCTCTCTCTGCCCCTCTCCTGCCCGCACTCTGTCTCTCTATCTCTCTCACAAAAATTAACATTAAAAATTTTTAAATAAAAAGATAAGATCGGTAAAAGTTGTGGAGACGGGGAGAATCTTCTGGATTATCTGGGGTGGGTGGGTCCACTTGCAACACAACGGGAGCCACGCGCCAGGGACCGGCAAGGCCACCCCCAGAAGCTGGAAGAGGCAAGGAAGGGCTCAGTTTTGAACCTCTAGCCTCCAGAACCATGAGACAATGCCCTTCTGTTGTCTCAGGCCACCCTGTTTGGGACGCTCGGTTACAGCGGTGCTAGAAAACTAATACAAGGGAAGAGGGGTGCAAGGTGGCGGGTACGGAGGGAAGCAGAGGTGGGACAGGAGAGGAAGATGCTTCCCTGCAGGTGGAGGGACCGCCGGCCCAGGAAGGCAGGCGCGCCTCTGGAGGCTGGAAGAGGCCGGGAGGCGCGTTCTCCCCTGGGGCCTCCAGAAGGAACACGGCCAGGCCAACAGCTAAAATCAACCCCCTGTGACCCGCGTCAGACTTCTGTGCCCCAGAACGGTAAGAGAATTCATACATGTTGTTTTAAGCCGCTCGGTGTGGGGTGGGGTGATTCGTCACAGCAGCCCCAGGAAATGAACGCAGTGGGCTGAGGGCAAAGGTGCAGGTGGGGAGGGGAGGGAGGAGAGAGGAAAGCGTGGGATCAGCAGCGTCAGGGCCTGGCCTCGGGCAGGGCAGCCGCGAGAGGGGCACAGACCATGGAAGGAAGAGGAGACCCCAGGGAGGCAGACAGGAAGCCATCAGAGAGAGAGCAGAGGCGCTAAGGACAAAAGTCAGAGGCTGACACCTGTCACTCATGAGGCAGCATGGAGCTCCATGGCTCAGGGAAGGTCCCGATGGCCCCCTCTGTGCTGATGGCTTCCTGTGTGGCTCTCCTGCCCAGCCCCGTCACCAGAGCCCGGGTTCCATCCGGCCTTGGCTGTAATTACGTGCAACCCATAGGTTGCACGTTCCAAAGGTATAAACGGGAGACTGGCATGGAGTGACTGGGGACACGGCGTCTCCCAGTGATGTGTGATGCATGTGCTGGTTCGACTGGGGAAACATAAAACCCATGAGAGCAAGAACTGGCCTGTGTCGCTCACCTCTGGGTCCCCGGGGCCTGGAACCGCGAGTCTCAACTGGGCGCTGACGCTGAGAGACATTAGGCAATGAGAATTTCCTGGGTGTCACAGCTGGGTTCAAGGGCAGGGTTACCGTCATCTAGTGGGTAGAGGCTAGGGATGATGCTTAGGGTCCACACGCACGCAAAAGAATAATCCTGGTCTATGCTGGGCAGAACAAGAGACCCCGCAGATGTCCGAGTCCTATTCCTCGGAACCTATGAATGCAAGCTGTTAACTCAAGTTCCCTAAAAATACGGAAGTTATCCTGGGTTACCCAAGTGTGGCCAGCGTAAGGGCCCTTAACAGTGGAGGTGGGACAGGAAGGGAGAACCTGAAGAGCGGCCGCATGGGAAAGGCCTGTCCTGCAGCTTTGGGGATCGCAGAAAGGGGCCACGGGCCAGGGAAAGCATGTGGCTTCTAGAAACTGGAAAAGACAAGGAGAGAGAGAACAGATTCTCCGCTAAAGCCCTGCCGACATCTTGATCTTAGCTTGTGAAGGTCCATCTTGCACTTGTGATCTTTAACACCGAAACAGGGGCGCCTGGGTGGCTCTGTCGGTTAAGCGCCCGACTTCAGCTCAGGTGATGGTCTCACGGCTCGTGAGTTCGAGCCCTGCGTCGGGCTCTGCTGATGGCTCAGAGCCTGGCGCCTGCTTCCGATTCTGTGTCTCCCTCTCTCTCTGCCCCTCCCCAACTTGCACTCTGTCTCTCAAAAATAAGTAAACATTAGGGAGAATTTTAAACATTCTTAAAGGCATGAATGATTGAAAGCTGGATCTGTACAGATGATTTCATTTTCGTGACTAAATAGTGTCTCCTGGCTGGCTTCTTAGCCAACGGCCAGCCAATAAGGGGTGTCTTTACCCATAAGCATCTCTGTTCATCCCAGCTGGCATTTCATCTTTGACCTGAGGCCGAGGAGACCACAAAACTTGGCTCACATGTTTGCTACAGGGAGGTGTGTTTAATTACTGAGTGGTTTTGACAGGAGCTAGAACTTATTCCTCAAGCTTGTAAAATTTAACCCCGATGATATCATCACTAATCCAGTTATAATTGACTCGTCTTGGGGCGCCTGCGTGGCTCAGTAGATTAAATGTCCAACTCTTGATCTTGGCCGGGGTCCTGATCTCTGCGTTGAGAGTTCAAGCCCCACATTGGGCTCCACACACAGTGGAATAACAGGGGTGCCTGGGGGGCTCAGTCAGGTTAGGCGTCTGACTCTTGATTTTGGCTCAAGTCATGATCTCATGGTTGGTGGGATCGAGTCCCAAGTCAGGCTCTGTGATGATAGTGGAACCTGTTTGGGATTCTCTCTCTCCCACTCTCTCTGCCCCTCCCCTGCTCATGCGTGCTCTCTCTCTCTCTCTCTCTCAAAATAAATAAACTTAAAATAATAATAATTAATTCGCCTTGAGCACAAATGACAGAGAAGCTTCTGGAGTTACACAAAGCACCCGCGTGCTATGTCCCCTCTCGTCAGTTTATGTAAGGAAACGCAAACTTACCTTAAACCAATTGCAGTTTCGTTGTCGAGCTGTATTGAGATAGGACTCATATACCATAAAACCCACCCTTTGAACATCTACTTACTCAATGGTTTGGGGTATATTTACCAACTTGTGCAACCATCACAATCAACTTTAGAACATTTTCATCAGCATGTTCTTTTTTTTTTAATGTTTACTTATTTTTGAGAGACAGAAAGAGAGAGACAGAGTCCGCGCAGGGGAGGGGCAGAGAGAGAGAGGGAGACCCAGAATCCGAAGCAGGCGCCAGGCTCTGAGCCATCAGCACAGAGCCCGACACAGGGCTCGAACTCATGAGCCGTGAGATCGTGGCCTGAGCCA